AGAAAAATCAATTAACAAACGGAGACGTAACAATATTAACAAACGACATAAAAAAAGAAAATATCATATCAAGACACTGTTTCATGGATTATGCCCTTCGTGGATGAACCTTTAACTATTCGCCTTCGTCAAGCGATTAGAAGATCTGGATTGAATATAAAAATCATACAAAAACCTGGTAGAGAACTGATGGATATTGTTACGACAGCGGAAGTCACGTGACTCTGGTAACACGTCACAAGTTTCTAGAAGGATCATGACTGTTCCTAGAAACTCTAGTTTTGCCAGACGCCCTCTATTTTTATATATAAGCCCGGCAAATAAAGCGGAGATATAATTGCAGATAGCAGATTGAAAAGAGATATAGAGACAGATAACTGAGTCAAGTGAGCGGTAGTGATCGTAAGTAAAATGCGTGAATCGTTGTGAATTATAGCGTGTGTTTAAGTTAAAGTGACGGTGGAAATTCTGTGTATTGCAAAGTTATATTGAGAAAGAATAAATTAGTTTTATTTAAGAAAGGTCTTGTATTGCTGAATTTCCTCCGGAAGAATTTATACCGGAAATTAACAAACGACCAGAGACGTAACAATATACTCACTCGTTCAGCCTTTAATAACAACAATACATGTAAAACCAAAAAGTGTTTTGCAAAGACGAATGGCATAGAGAAGTTCTGCACACTTAAAAACACTGTCTATGAACTTACACTAACACAGTGTTCGGCCAATTGTCCAATACACGATCGTTTCAAAAAACACATTCGTGCCACTGGAAATCTTCACAACAAAGAAGCTACCGCTGAACATTATTTAAAAGAACACGGCATAATTCACGGGACACTATATACAATCAAAATTTTAGAAACTTGTGACAATTTCCTCGACAGAAAAGATAGGGAATCAGTTTTGATTCAATCCAGACACCCTTCCATTAATAGGTACAACGCCTGGCCTTTAACATTTTATTATTGTTATTAATTTTTATCATTGTAATTTTATTAATTTTTATGTTATTATTGTCACTTTCTCTTTTTTTATGATCAACAACTCAAAACTGTTCACCTATACTCGTATCACGTACACTTTTCCGTTATATTATTGTAGCTGTATTTTTTTTTCGTTACTGTCATTTAAAATGAGATTGGTAACCTATGACGTTCATAGATCCTTGATAGAGGCGTAAGCCGAAACGTCGGGTACAAATGATTAAACATTTTTCTGAAGTTGTTTGTCGTCTTCATTAAATAGTGGTTGTTATCCTTCAGTCAGCACTGAAAAACGTAAAAACAGTAATATGCTACAACACTGTTTGCAAAGAAAAGACCTAACCTTCACTTACCAAACCGAACGCGGGGAATCGATTTTAGCGTTGTAAGTTCGTATACACACTGTTGTCTCATCGGGGGTCTGGGATGACACAAAACAAAGGTAGCTAGAATGAAATAAATTTAACGACTTTCTTGAACTCGTGTTATGCGAAAATTGCACATACATAGAATAAACGAAACGTTTTGAAAACTTCCTACTGCTTAAATACCACGTAGAGATCTGCTGATTTCTGAAAGCTTTCAATAGCTAGTAAAGGCACTGACCTATGTTTACAGACTCGCTGTTTTTACTGAATAAAGGTGGTTTTCAGTGTTTTACATTGTGTGCAATCTGTTTTATTACTTTATCAGTCAAAACGAGAGGAGTTCAGTTTAATTACATTTCCTTTTGAACCCCTGTCGGAGAAAACAGTTTACAGAATACTAAAAAATAAATACATACAGTTTATCTAGAAGTACGCAAAGACATGATATTGTCAGTTTAATTGTACATCTTACACTTACGTGAAATGTGCACTAAGTACGTGTATGTGTGGAAAAATTTCGTCAGTTTTGGTGAGCTAAAGCTGTACACCTTGCTAAGTAAAAGTAGATAAAAATAAAAACGTATTTTTCGAAATACCACAACGACATGTGTGCTATTTCTAGAATTACTCCCCAGGGTAACAACTAAACAAGTTAGCAACTAAAGCAATTTAAGGTTTATGTATTTGTGTGAGCAGTACTCAACAAATATTATATCATATGTCATTTACTTTTAGTTTAGACATTCTATTAAAACGTTTGTTTTTTTTTTGTTTTACATTTTCTATTGTATTGATCCATTGTTTCACATTTTACCTACTTCGAACTCCTTACATTTTCTTTTTGAAACGTGACAGTCCAATCGGTGAGTTTGTTAGTTTAATTTAAGGTAACAAAAATTTGAAAAGGCATATAAGTTATAACCATTATAATATAAGTTAATTACTTTCAGAATTCAGTTTTACTTTTAATGTGTTTTTGAGGCACTAATTAAGTTGTTAACCAAGGCTTATGACTGTAAATCTTACTAGTAATAGTAACTAATACTAACAGTAATAATACAATATTAATAATAACATAGTATGTCACACTTTCGTCCGCAATTTTTTAAACGTTTTCGAAATACTGTTTTTGTAATTTGTATTTGTCTTATTTCAAAGCAATTTTTAATTAATATACCAGTTGTCATTATTTTGAATTTAAACTGAGTTAAAGAATGTGCTAATAATATTTCTAACGTTATGTAAAGTTCAAACTTGTAATTTTTTACGTAACTATCAGTATCAGGATGGGGAGAGGGGAATGTACTAGTACTACTATATCTTGAAATAATTTCACAAAGGCTTCAATTTCTAAACCGTTAACTTGCCTAACTGTTACTGTTAGTAACAGTTGCACTAAGTAAAAGTAACATGTAAAACAAATCAAGGGTTTAACTTTTTTTGCTATTACTAATTACAAATAGGTCTTGTTAACAAATCAGCTTTCTGAAAGGTTCTTGAAATTTATAATTTTCTGTAAATCAGATTTAGGCCTTTTAATTTTTAAACTGGAGTAAAGCACAAAATTTCATTGCTAGAGCATGAAAGTGATGATTCAATGTACTCTTGTTATATATGGTTATATATTTTAGTGTTTTGGTGCATTAATTTATTATGTTAAGTTTACACAAGATTTTATTAATTAATTTACAAAGTTACTATGTTTTTAATCTTTATAATTCACTTACTTTTGATCAGAAGTTCTTAATATCTTTAAAACAATTTTTTGTATATAATTGTTTATAAGTGTATATTTTTCATAGTAATGAAGTTAATATTAAGAAAATTGAATAGAAGTGGAGAACAGTTGGATAATTTTATATGTGTATTTATGTACGGTACTTCATTTACAATAACATAAACTATGGACAACAAGGGACCATTTGATCCTTTCATAAGACAGTCACCCTGTTACGAAAATTAAACTGTTGTAATTGGAGACGAACCTGCATTTTCCACATCTTCTGTCCTTTCTTCTCATCTATTCCCTGGATAATCTTGTAAACTTTGACCAATAAGATCATGTCTTACCTTTCTTTTTTCAAGAAAAAATAAGAGATCTAAACATGTCACTGTAAGACAACCTTTACATGCAATGGTAGTACTCCTCTGGACTTTTTCCATTCAGTCAATAACTTTTTTTAGATAAGAAAACAAATTCTATGTAATACTCCAAGTGAGACTTAACCAGTGATTTGAAGAAAGGTATCATTAATGTAAATACAGTGTAAAAGTCCAAGTATTTATCTCTGAGGGGATTTTTTAGTAACAAGGGTTCAGTTCGACTAGATTCCATTACTAACAACTTTTTGTTTTTTCTTATCCAACCATCCAGCAGTTCAATTTTTCAGTCTTTCTCCAAACACCTCCAATGTGATCTTCTTAGCTAATCTTTTGGCTGACAACTTATCAAAATGTCTTTGAAGATCTAAGTATACCAAGTCCACATAAATATTAGAAGTTTCAATTCATAGAAATGTTGGGAAAATTCCAGAAGTACAGAAAATAAGCTACAAATCTAGTTACAAAAAAAAAGAAATTCAAAAAAAGAGTTTACTGGAAACAACTGGCTTACAATGTTGAAAAATCTAACTTTCTGAGCTAAGTAAAAGGTAAGCAACACAGTAAAATGAGATTACTGATGACAAAGATTTTGTTGAAGACTTAAAGATGCCTCACTTTTGTCTTAAAACTTTTCTCATTTTTACAAGAGAAAATATTACTAACGTTCCTAACCCTGAACATTCTGTAGTAAATATTGGTATTGACGTGTATGATATAGATATTAATCCTCTAATGGTAGGTAGAAAGATACGAGATTAAAAATAAAGCAGCAACGGGTTTAAAGGAAGTCAAAGGTCAAATATGCAAGCATCTCTTTTATACTTTGGGTAGCTAAATATACAGTGGGCATGTGCCTGAGGATTGGAGAATTGATTATGTCACTCCTTTTAAGAGATGATGATACTTTAGAAATGCCTAGGAAATAATAAGCCAGTTAGTCTTACTTCCTTAGAAAGTAAAAATCCTAAAGTCTGATAAACGAAGTTTTTAGTGAAATATAGTATCATAAAAGAAAATCAAAAGAGATTCACCAAAGGGAAATCTTGTTTTACTAATCTGCTATTCTATTTTTCAAGGATTTTACTTGTTATCTGGATGATGGTATTGTCTGACACTTATCCCTCATTTTCTCTTTTATGTATTTAGTAAACCAGTTAGATTTTATATTCCCTGTTATTCTTTTTAGGATCATTCCTATCTTGAATTAAAAGTAATTTGTTTTTAAAAAATTCCCATATCTATTCCACACCACCTTTTAACTCATCCCAATTTCCTTCCTCCTTCCAAAAAATCATTGGTGTGTTACTGACTAATTTTCTTTCTTCCAGTACTTAACCAGTTTTAATGGATTAATTAAAAATGAAGGTTAATGGCACATAAATCTACTCTGTTTCTTTTATTATCCTATCCTAGAATAATATCCTTCAGATTTTCCAGTTGTGAATCTACCAATCCTGGCCTCATTCAAGGACATATAATCTTTTAGAGAGAGATCCATTTACACTTACCTTTTCCCACAAAAATCGTGTGTGAAAATAAAACAACATGCAGAGCCATCTCACAATTATCAATCAAAGCCCTCCAGTCTTTTAACATTCAGTTTCCCTTAAACATACTTAAAAAATGTAAATGCTCTTTTGAATTTGTTTAATTAGAAATAATGAGTTTGATTTCTAATCTGGAAATTATTGACAACTATTTTCTAATATACAGATGTTTGACTGTCATAAAAGTTTCTACACTGCTGTTGTTATAACTCATTGATCAAAGTATTAACACTTAATATCTCAAATTGGTTGTCACCAAGCTTCTGAAAGGTATTATGCCTAATTGAAACTAACTGAAAATTCTTATGGTTGTAATTTCATGTGGCCAGAGGATTAAACTATAAAGTTTTACAGGACCTTTGACATTTGTACATGTACCGTACAGTGTACTCCATTCAAGCATCTCTCATGTTATAAAATTGTTATTATAAATACAGTTAGTCACACTGTGAGTTGGTTTGTCATACTTTCTCACACAGCAGTAGTGAAATAATTTTGGGGAAATTTTAAGTTGAATGAATGGTTCAACTTCATCTAGTTTTTGAGTTCTAAGCCCTAAATAGTTAAAGGGGAAAAGTGCAAGGTTCATCAAAGTGTTCATTTGAAGCATTATGAGATGCTCCCTTGTAATCCATGTGTCTTTTCTGGGTCAGTAATCATTACACAAATTAACTTCAGGTACTGGAGAATAGGGGCAATGAAACAACACCTAATTATTTGATCATTTTCTCTATTCTTGCATTCCTGCTTTTTTAAATGTTTTTTAAATTTTTTTTATGAGCAAAATTTTATAAAAGGTATTTCTTTTTTCTATCATTTTGCATTAAAGAAGATTCTTTAGTTATAAGTGTAGTTTGTTAACAGGTACATTAATATATGTATGTTTTATTTGCAGGTATATGTTGACTTCATGTAGCTCTTTTTATGTGTTGAGAAAAAGAAATGACTGAAGGTTAGTAAATTAGTTTTTCCTTAACTACAAAAATACAGAGTTGAAATGTTGAAATTGGCACATAAAATAGGTTTTTTAGCTGAATATTAAAGCATTTTTGCTTATTACAACATTAGAAATTATTGATTGAAGTACATTTTAAGTGAGGTTTTACGTTTAGTGCAGTTACAGAGAACTAAAAATTTGACGTTACGTGCATAAAATGCTGATACATAATGTACGTCTATCTGCAGTACGGTGTGTATGCAAGGTTTTGTCTTATTAAGTATTTTAAATAAATTTCATATAAAAGTAAAAACGATATGTAAAGTTATATTTCATACAAGGCTTACAAGCTCAATTTGTTTTGAAAATGGTTATTTTCTAAAGCGGTATGTTTCTGATTTTTCGAAAGTTTTACTGCCCTCTATAAACAACTTGGTGGATACTGAATGAAAATTAAGATGTTTACGACAGAAGTACTAAGTGGTATTTTTTGCTACCCTTCTCTCTTAAGGTATTTGACAGTGATTCGGGCAATATTTTTAATTTTAATGTTTGTATTTTATGGGCCAGTTTGAGGTTTAACTTCAAGCAGTGGAGCATCTGCCGACCCAAATTTTTCTTGCCCCCAGACCGATTACACCCCTCTTCCATCCAAATTTAATCCTACATACATAATGTGAGTGTAATGTGTATAACAAGAAAACACGTTTGCATGTGCACTACTGTTTTAGAGGATGTTTTTCTTTTGTATGCTAGAAGTCAACCAGATGTAGTATTTTCACATAAATAACTCGACCCCTAGATTACCTTGCACCTGAGGAAAAAAGTGCTCTAAGAAACTTTTAGACACGTATTACCTGCACTTGTGTATACCCCGCAAGCCAGCAATACAGACAAATTTTGGGAGACAAAAATTAAAGAATTCTTTTGCATTATGGTAACACAATAAAACCTTCACTAAACAGAGATTCAGGATTAGAGATGAGTACCCTGTGGCTACCATTGGTTGAATCTACAGGAAGTTTTTGCACCAATCAGAAAGAGGGATAAACCATCCAGTCAGAACACGTCCTCCACAATCCACAAGAATACTATAAAGACTGACAACAACATACACACACTGACCTGAAGACGAAAGGTGGAAGACTTGAAACGTCATCCTCTATACTTGGCAATATAAAACCAGCACATATTTTGGTTGATTAGCATTGATTAGCTTAACTAAACCACTTCGGAAAATATATAAAGTACATTTTAATAAAAAATGCAATTCTAGCTTATTCAACTAAATTCATCATGTTGGCTGTTGAATTATATCCTTTCATGAATTTGTCCAGATTATTATAAATTGCTATTAAAATTACTGCTATACAATGTCTGCTATCAATACAAGGCATTTTTGTAAGGGCAAACAAAAAGGGCTGGGTGAATGAGGATGAAATGGAAGATTGGACTGAAAACTGCTGATGGTGGTAACCAGGGTCCTTCTTCACCAAAAGGAAATTGCTCCTGGTATTTAAATCTATGTCAGTCCATAAGTGTGACTTTCAAGAAGAAATAAAAAAAGATTGACAGGGAAATAGCCGTGATCCCTGGAGGGCTCAGAAAGAAACTTCAGCCACTTGACTTCACCATAAACAGTGTTCAAACTGAAGATCCGTGAATGTTGAGAGAAATGGATGACAGAGGGTCTACACAAACATACACCCTCTAGGAAAATGAAGATGGCCAGCTATGCCGAAGTTTGCCATTGTAGAAGCATGGAATGCTATCAAAGTATCAACCGTTTTGATTGCTTTCAAGAAAAGTGGACTGACTTCTGGAGAAGAGAAGGATGAGAGCGAAGGACACTGAATAACGGTGAAGGTTGGTTGATGATGGATGATGTGAAGGCAATAATGTCTACACAAACAGATGGAACCGGCAGTTCACACAGTGTTGTTGTAGCTCACGTGACGTCTGAAGGACATTCATATCTATGAGAGCACATTTGGGTTGAACATGATCAACGATGTTGTCTCTCTCCTTTGCCTTATGAAAGAGAAGATGCAGAAAGAAAAACAATTTATCAAGAAGACTTTCATATATTCGTGGAATAATTTCAAATGGTACCTAAGGTTTATGTATCTCTCTCTATGTATATATAAATACATGTGTGCGCGTGCACACACACGCTTTCATTATGAATAATGGTAACTCTAATCAACTGTGCAACGTTATCTTTGTTGTTCTGCGACATTGATAAAATTAAAAAATATATATAAGATGCGTTGTAAGAGGGTTTTTTATCGAGGCGATATTTTTATATTGGACTTTCATTTGGAGCAAATCAGAGTATCTGTTATTCAAATTAGAAGTAGAAAATAATATTCTATTGAATTGCAACACACCTAAACTTGACGACTCAGAGCTGCTTCAGCTGTTTTCCAATGACACAGAAGATGAGGACTTTGATGACATTGTGGAAGATGATTTACCTTTAACTTTGATTTAAGTAAAACATTGCCAGGTTGTGGACATACATTCATATATTTTCATTTGAAAGATGTAATTTAATTTCCTTCTATTGCTATCATTGTACGAGGAAACTGTACTTATTCGGGAATAAACTGTATTCCTTATTATAGTAATTTAATTATTTCATATGAGATTAGATATATGCATGGAACATATGCAAAAGAACTGTTATTAAAGAT